GATACTTTGTTTAATGTTTAGTATTTAGTATGATGTTGAACAAAAAAAAACAAAAAATACTAGTTTTCATGCCCACCTCGAAAGTCTCAAATCCAACGTGCAGAGAACTGGACTCCAAGTTCCTCATTTTTGGGCTATTGGGCCTTAAACTATATAGGCTTTCCATGAGACTATGTTGGAATTATTAAAAATATTGACGAGAAAGTTTCTCCTTCTCTTATTTTCTAGAGAGTATTCATTATACCAAGTTGCTTTCTAACTCTAGACTGCAATTTTCGTTCATCAATAGTATTTTACTTTTTTATAACTTGATCACATTAGTAATTGACATTTTTGACTATCCATCAAAGACAATTTACAAACGTACGTATCTGATTTTTAATTTTTATCACTAGGTAATTTTGATAAAACCAACCATTATTAGTATATATATGTGCAATATTTGCTCTAATGATGGCGAATTAGACTATGTATCGAATGGACAACTCACGTGACCCAACTGGATTACAGACATTGATCAAAGTTTTTGTGCATAAAGCATTCGGAACCATTTAATTTTCATGGAATGCTTATAGCTAAGTCTGATAATTAAGATATGTTATTGGAAATTTTTAAAAAAAAAAAAGATATGGTATTGGAAACATATATATAGTTGCTTAACCCTAAATCATAATCAACAAGAAAACGTGAATATCCATTTTGTAAATCTTGAGTTTTCCACTGCCAGGTGGTTTCGTAATAAACCAAAGTATAAGAAATCAAATCATCAACAAAATATTGTAAATCACATGAGGTCATATTTAGAAGAAGTGAAAAACTGGGTTTGTAACAAGTTTGAATAGGAGTATGGGACCTTTCGCCTCAAGCGAGATATTTTCGTATGATTTCGAACTATATACTACTCAGAAAGTCACAATGATATTAAAATATATTTTAAAATAGTATATGCATGATACGATACATGACTGATTAATTTATTCGTCTCCACAAGTTATTGGACGATTAATTTATTCGTCTCCACAAGTTGCCTTGAACCACTAAACATAAAGAGAATTAAACGGAATAGGTTAAAGGGACGTTTACCAAAATATCAACCTAATCTGCCCCAAACCCATTTTTTCCAATTTTGATTATTATTAAGCACAATCAACTCTGTAAAACTAAAGTATATTCGTGGCCACTGATTGTTTTTGTTGGTATATAATTGAATACCACACAAAATATAATAAACATGACGTAAGAGTCTATTTCATGCTTATAACATAGACTCTTATATAAATGAGTCTATAAATGAAGGTTGTATCCTTTGAAACGGCACTTTTGTTAAACGGATTAATTAGGATATATTTTCTGAATTATATTTGATATTTTTATGTAAAAATGATCTTTCTATAGTTTTTCTTATTTTCATGTGTTTGAGTTAATAACTTTCCGGAAATGATTAATGTCTCTGCAAAGTTTGTAGTTGCATAAACTACTAAATATTTTTAAAAGTGATCGCTAGCTAATAGGCATGATTCATCGTCAATTTCTGTAAATAATTGCCCGAGCTCCATTCCACAGGTCACATAAATGAAATCATAAACTTTAAAAATAAAAAAAAATGAAATCAGAAACCTTTATGATTTTCTTTTTCTTTACATGAATATGTGAAATAATTTCCTGTGAATGTTATGACTACGATAGCATAATTCTCTAATCAAAGATCAGCTAGATAAAATAATGGCTACCATGCATATACATTTCTTCAAGGGAAATTAGCAAAAAATTATTTTAAAAAACTATAATCCAAAACTAACCAATCTTTACCTTTTCCTCTTTCTATCTCTTTCTATTTTTCTCTAACC